CTCGAGGTTATTAAAGAATAAATTTAGGCTAATTTTTTTTTTAAGTTAAATTATGTACACTATTCTAATTTAATTTTATGAACATTTTAACCTAAAAATATTTAAATTTCAACAAATATTGAAAAATCATTAAATTTGGGTGAATTTTGAGTTAAATAATTTTTTTTTAATTATTTTAGCCGTTGGATTTAAATTTGGGTCGTTAGATCTTCTTTGATACCGTTGGATTTGATCATATTAGATATTAGTTGTTGGATTCAATGAAATTATTAATATAAAACCAAAACATTAACTAAATTAAATGTGGACCGTTGGATAACCAACGACCTGTTTGAATTTTAGCTGTTGATCATTCAAAAGAGTCGTTGGCTCACTTTTCTTGGCCAACAATTGCTGGTGTCACTCCCTGATCCCGACATACGTCGAAGATTAACACGTGACGTTAATACATTCCTGTTTATTTAACATGTCTCGCCTCCGAGACAAAACCAAAGCACAATCAATGATTTAACCACGCATTCATTTTCTTTTATTTCATGGCTACATTTAACCTTTGTGTTACACTGCCTACGTACCCTAAGAAGGGATAAAGCCATTCATAGTTCACCATTCACTACACTCTGACGTTTCTCAAAGTAAGTTCAAGCAGAAAAACATAACATTCTTCAATCAATTATTAGAACTTGACAAGCATGAAATTATTAGATTCAGGGCTATATAACAAACCCACATGACAATCAAGATTTCCATTTCATCCATCTTATAAATCACTATGTTTCAACATAATATTGCAATTTATAGCATGCAACGTCTCAATCAACAACCAATGAAGAAAAATATTATTCTCTAGCCACATTGGTCAATGAATCTGATTATAGTAATAACAATCATATCCACAATCACTCCAATTAATCAATCCCAAGAATCAAAGATGCACGTTATTGACATTTAACTACGTTAATCAATCAATAAGATCACATATCAATTCACGAAATTTAATAAAGGAATTCTACATAATTCCTTACCTAGATTCCAAGTAGATAAATCTAATTTAGAAACACAATGTCTACTGTGATCAATTCCTATTTAGTCGAATCTAAGGTTGGACTAACCTTATGAAAATGAGCAAGAGTGGGGATTCAGGACCACTTAACAAAATCTAACTAAAATATGTTCGCCTATCGAAATGTACCAAATACAACTAATCCCCAGCACCCCTAGAATGCATATGGTCCCCTATTGTAGATATACCAAGTAGAACCATAGGCATAATCTAATAGTACATGCAATGATCACCCATCGCGGATATACCAAGCATGATCACCCTTGAAATACGTGTGGTCCCCTATCGTGGATATACCAAGTAGGACCATATTCTATCTCTAGGTAGTGATCACTCATTGCGGATATATCAAGCATGATCACTCCTAGAATGCATATGGTCCCCCATTATGGATAAACCGAGCAAAACCATATGGATAGTCTAAAAACGTAGGCAATGATTACCCATCGCGGATATACCAAGCAAGAATGTATCCTATAACTCTAGGTAGTGATCACCCATTGTGGATATACCAAGCATGATCACTCCTAGAATGCGTATAGTCCCCCATTGTGGATATACCAAGCAGGACCACAAACATAGTCTAATCATGCAGGCGGTGATAACCCATTGCGGATATACCAAGCATGATCACCTTTGTAATACGTATGGTCCCTTATCGCAGATATACCAAGCAGGAACATCCATGTACCACTGCTACATGGTGTAGTTAGATCAACACAAAACCTCCCTACCCCTGTCTTAACCTCTATGAATTACAACATAAGCACCTGCACCATCAATTTCTCATGGCCACTAACTAACATGTCACACAAGCATATAAGTTCTACAGAATATTTCTAATAGGATTCTAGTCTCACATTATCATAACAGTTTATACATATCATTCATATTATCAAGAAGATAAATACACATATATATTGCAATAAGGCATCCCATACACGTAAACTGAGGTAAATATTATCTGGGATAACTCACTAACCAATATAGGCCCACTAAGCCCTACATAGTCTCTAGTATTACTAATTGTAATATTTAAGATCAATTTGTAACATATTAACCAAAAGTCAACTCTTTGTCAACGATAGGGTCCACAACCCTATATAATTCGATCTGGAACATCCGCCCATGGATTTCTGATCCGTAACTTCCCAAGAGTCTCATTAATCTTCTAGAACAATATCCTAAAATTTTAGAACGATCCAATGGTCAGATCTCCACCAATCGCTAAAATTAAATGGCGGTCAATATTTGATTTCACAAACTTAAAGTTCAATTCGGGAAGATCTGTATATTGGATTCCTAATCCGAAAATTCCTAAGGTCCTTAAATATTATGTATGATAACATATTAAAGTTTGGTAATGATCTAACGGTTATATCGTCGATTGTTATAATGATCAAATGGCTCCATCTAACGAAAATATGTTTAAACAACGGGATTTCGTCAATCGGATGTCAAATATGGAATTAGAGTATCGAATTTAGCCTCAGAAGACAAAGTTGGCCCACTGGCCATGCGCCTTCGCAAGTGGCGGTTTCCGGCAAACGGAAACCCAATTTTCCGACTAATTCTAAAAATTACCAAATTTTAGGAGAATATAGAGTACAACTAGGGGAATAATTTTCATACATAGGCCGAAGTCCAATTCTGCCGGGAAACACCTGAAAACCACCTCGATGGGTGTTCTCGATTCATCGCTAAAACGAAGTCCGACGCCTTAACTAGTACATGAATTTTGTTCATGGGGTTGAGGGAAGTCGATTGGTGGTGGTGATCGACGATGTTGACTTCAAAAATGGCGGATCATTGTCGTGCACCCCTCGGTGCCACCGACGCCATTCTTCGCGAAAAAGGCTCCAATCCTTGTCAATTTTGGGTGAAGTTGGAAGAGGGATCGACTGAGTTTAAAGTGAGGATCAATATGGCACTGGTCTCGTTGTTAAAGGTGGCCGGAATCGGAAGATAAGGTTGGGTCAGGTTGGTTGGTCGAAAAGGGGGTCTGGGTTTGCTAAGTCTCTCATTCCCCTCATTTCCCTCCTAATTGGTCACTCCCCTTCCTTTCTCTCCCTCAACTCTCCTTTCCCCCTTTCTTGCTACCATATGGTAGCTTCTAATCTTTTTTTTTTTTCCTCTCATTTTCTTCTTTTCTAATTGGTCTTTTCCCAAAGGAATCGGAACCCCTAAAATTTTTGAAGGCTTATTATATTAACACCCCACAAATTGTTGAATAAACTCTAAATACTTAATACACCCTACATTTGCTTTTTCAATTCAAAATTATCTTAAAACACCCCACTTACTTCCCCATAATACCCTTACACCCCACATTCTTAATATACACATTACATTTTCTATATGTACCCCATATTTTCCATACACCCCACATTTCTCAAATCTTATAAGGCTTTTAATTTGGACAAATAATGCCGACTAACATTTTGACAAAAGATACCGCATGGGATTTAAAGCATATGTGGGTTGTTTTCAATTCCATCATTGAAACCCATGTCGTTTGTTTTTAATATTTGGTGGTAATTTTAGGTGTTTAATTCTTCATGTAATTCCTGTGATCCCTAAAAGATGAATACAAACATAGAAGCTTGAATAACTCATCAAAAGCAAGATTAAATAATTATATATGTCGCCAAAATCACTAAAAAAATAAATAATATGAAGTGTTACCTCATGTGAAGCTTCTAAAACATCGATTTTGTGTTTCATTCGTCAAAAATAATTTTTCTCAATCAACATGTTTGTAGTTTCATTGGTTAGGGTTTTGTTCAACAATGGAGGGGTGGAGAAGTTTTGATAGTTGAAGAAGATAGATAATATGTAAAAAGTGATTTTGGGTGTATATAGAATTTTTTATTTTTTTAAACCTTACAAGGTCAAAATTGCCATTGCATAGTAGGATAAATAAATTATTTAATATTAAATTTTAATATGGGGTGCATTCAATATTTTGTAGAGTGCTAATATAAAAAGCCAATTTTAAATTCCTATTTTATTTAATAAACTTCTAACATCTGTAATTTCTCCTTCCTTATCCCGATTCACGAACGGCATTCGCCTATGCGCTCGTGGGGTCGAGCTCAATTTGAAAACATTAAGAGTGACTCCCGAAGGTCTACGAATATTAAATAATTATTTTAAAAAATTCAAACTTTGTAATTAAGTAATTAAAATCTAAAATTTATTTAAATTAGCGAAAATACTATAAAATCTTGCGAATACGAAATACGTGGGTGGGGTTGCCCTTTGCAGCCATGATAAATGCTGGAGCGCATCCTTCATGTGGCGCGAGTGGTTTTGGGTGCTTGTCATAGAAGGGAAAATTTAGAACTTACTCCAAGGGGTGGAGTTGGTCTAAGGGGGAGGGGGTAGAGATGGGCTTAGCCTCACATTGGACTAGCAATAATGTAGTTCAAATTCGTCTTTAGCGAGAATCGAACCTCAGGCCTCTCATCTATAAGTGAAGAGGAATACCACTAGACCGTAGTACTTAATAGCAAATTGGCAGTTAGATCCACAACCTAGAGGTAACGTTAAGAGCTTATCGATGAGAAATGACGATATTTTATCTAAAGGGTGTCTGTGCACGACTTAAATTGACAAAAAAATTAATATAATTGCTTCAAATATAAAAGTAGAGATGAAATTGGCAGCTTTTAAAATGTTTAAGAAAAATAGTTTAACGACCTAATTTTTACTTTGAATAATTTGGGGACTAAAACATCAGTCTATTCGGGGAACTAGACCGTCGTACTAAGTAGCAAATTGACAGTTAGATCCGCAATTAGTGGTAACGTTAAAAGCTTAGGGATGAGAAAATGAAGATATTTCCTATGAAGGTTATCCTGTGTATAACTTAAATTGACAAAAAAATATATAATATAATTGCTTCGGGACTAAATCGACGTTTATTACAGCGTTTACATACAACCAAGCTCTAGTTGAACTTTCTTCTATTCACAAATCATCTAAACTTAGCTTATTAGGTTTTCTGAACAGAAAAAAACGAAAGATGATCCGCAAAAGTTCAATCGAAGAATCAGGGCCTTATGCTTCTAAATTATTAATCACGATCGCATGTACAAATTCATTGCTGCAACAACGAAGAAGGGAAGCAACAACCAAAGGTTGAAAACTAGTCAGACGTACGTACACCATCACGCAAACTTGCTGTTGGAGACGCTCTGAATATGCAAAGGCTTCTTATATGACTGCAACAAGAGAGAAGAACATAACACGCTGAGAGATGAAGCAGCCATACATGCACCGGCAAGCCACGGTGGTAGTCGAATTCCAGTGAAAAGACTCCAGCTGCGACTGGCTTGCCAAGGATATTGTAGCCCAGGGCCCAGACATAATTCAATCGAATTCGTGACATAGTTTTTCTGGAGAGATCTATGGCTGTAACTACATCTTCCAAGTTGCTCTTCATGAGAACTATATCAGCGGCTTCTATAGCTACGTCAGAGCCAGCACCAATTGCTATGCCAACATCTGCTGCAACCAAAGCTGGAGAGTCATTGATTCCATCTCCCACCATTGCCACCACCATTCCTTTCATCTGCAGCCAATTTCAGTTAGCTGTTTGAAATGGCTAAACAAACTTCATATAGAAATAATGTTTGAAAATTTCTTAAAAAAATCAGTTTAATTTAGATAAGTCATTTAAATCTGCATCGAAACCAGAATAAAGCAGCATGTGTAGCTGGGTTTTGTAATTTATTCACACCACCCTCGTAACTATTTCATAATCGTAACTGAATTCTTTGATTCTATCAGCTTTTCCCAGTGGATCCGTCTCAGCGTACACCTTATCAATGCCAACCTCCTTTGCGATGGCTGCTGCTGTAGCCCAGTTATCACCAGTAACCAGGATGCTAGTAATGTTCATCGAGTGAAGAGATAAGAGATGACCCGCGCAGCCTCTTGCTTCACTGGATCAGTTACAGCAAAAGATCCGGCAATCATTCCATCAATGGCAACCAACACACATGTTCGAGCCAGATTCTCGTGTTCCGAAACATATTTCTCAACCTCAGGACCAACCTGGACATTATTATGCGCATGAGAAATTGGAGAAGAGCACTGCATTACTGCATTGACTACCACGGGTTTCCCAACTGTCAGAGTCCCTGTTTTATCAAGGACAACCGTTTTCACCTGCAAGGATCAAACGCATGTCAGTACACGTCCAGACATCAATAAAGTGTCAAATGCTAAAAAATGTATCAACCTTCATGACTTAGGTACCATTTGTTCAACTTTTCATTTTAGAAAGGAAAAAAACAAAAAAAACAAAAAGAACGAAACAATTATTAGCCTTGTTATCAGAAAAGGAGTTGGGGAGAACTCTCCCTTAGTGAGAGCTGTTATCTACAAGAAACGGGGATCTAAAACTTGGCGAGTATGGCTTCCTGACATGGACAAGGCGCATACAGCCACCAATCGTCCAGAACCAAAGTGATAGTTGCATGTTCAACCCCAATACATACAGAAAGAACATCCTTCATACCCAATGACATAGACTGCATTTAGTTTTATGTCAAGAGCCTAAACATTGACAGAACGGAGGCAGAACGTTTCACTGGTCAGAAATGATGTGCATAACATGTTATATTACGGAACATCAACATAAACTATGTTGGTAACATAGGTCATAATACAAAATGACCAGACCAATACGAGGACAGCAACTTCATAACAAAGGAAAGACGAGAAAAACGGACTACACTTGCACCCTCAGACGTATGGATAGTATCTAATCAGTAATTGTCTTTTCCTAATACCAGAACCAACAGGTTTTCAATGTCCTCGGAAGGAAAAGTAAGTAGGAACAAGTTTAATGAATCTACACCAGCAAAAAAACATGAAAATAATGCATGAAAAGTTGAAAACCCAGATTCTGAATTGAAAAGCAATTTGTTTCCCAGGATAAGGTGGTCTTACCTTATGAGCCTTTTCGAGTTCATTTCCACCCTTGATAATAACACCTTGCGAAGCACCCTTCCCTGTTGCAACCATTACTGTGGTAGGGGTTGCTAGTCCCAAGGCATAAGGGCAAGCAACCACTAATACTGAGATACCGCATTGTAATGCCAGCTCAAATTTATCCATTCCTTTTGGTATCCAGTTTTCCGGAAAAGACCAAATTCTCCAGGGATGAACCATCTAAGCCATGTCAAAAATGCAACAATGACAACCTGATGTAGGAAAGAAAAACAGAATCAATCATGCAATTGAAAAATTGTCATAATACATGGTGTAATGACAAAATAATGTAAAAAATATAGCAAACAAATAACAGAAAATTTAATTTTATTCTGACAGGGAAGAAATACATTTGAGTTCCTCCAAAAATCTAACACGCAAATAAATAAATAAAACACGAACACATACAAACTGTATCAAGCAGGGAAAATCGTCTACGAAAAAAATTGTGTTAAAATCTTGGCAAAACAATGAAAATCCTAAAAAGATCAAAGATATGTCTATGATATTAGCAGTTCAGCAAATAAGGAGCTGAGACAAACACAAAATTAAATGCCAAAGACCACCAAATGCAGGATCGAATGCAATAAGTTTGGGATCGGCCTTGGAAAAACCCATATCTGGGAAAAATGGGAGAGAGGAAGGGAATAAATTTGGGTCGCTAAATTTTGAAGAGAAATAGACATGCATGCAATAAAATGAAATAAGAAAATAAAAAATAAAAAAAATCAGAAAACCAAGTCTTATTTTTTATATGCGCACACACACATATATAAAATCATCAAGAAGAAATTATAACAAGTAATATGAAAAATATATCAATAAATAAAAGAGCAAAGCAAGATACCATTTGTTAGTGTTTAAGTGTTTTAGCTGAAATAAACCAATTCATTTTTTTACTTGTTTTAATTAGAACCATTGGATTACATTCCAAAATGAATGCTCTAGATTGAATGAGAGTTAGCAATGTAGAGTGACAACTATAGCTATCTCATAAGATAGATGAAATGAATGGTTGTGATGCATTCTTTCTTGTGTGAGAGACAGAAGGTGTAACAGTGCCCTACATTGTTTTTTTTTTGTAGTCGGTCACATTCCGATAAGAAATGATGATGAAATGAAATTGGTTCATATTTCTCTGTGAATCCTCTTTCTGAAATATACATTTTCCTCCTAAATTCCATAACAATCACTCTTTGTAATCTAACATGGCCTCAGAGCCAGGTTGCATCATCTGCAACTAGGCGTGAATCTGTGAAGCTCACAGTGAAGAGCTCGAACTGACCGTTGAGCTATCTCACTGAAGAAAACTCGGAGAAGAAAGTGTAGTGATCTTAGATCTCGTCTCATATGGCTGGATCGAGTGGAGCTGATCTTCGTGCGCCGGTATTCAATGGTGATAGCTTTGATTTCTGGCAGATTCGGATGAAGATAATATTCCGATCGCACAAGCTCTGGGATATCGTCGAAAATGGTGTCGAAACTTCTGCGAAGAAGAATGAGGAACTCACTGCAGCTGAGAGCAAGCTATTGAAGGTGAATATAGTCAGAGATGCGAAGGCACTTGGAATCATTCAAGGGGCGGTTTCTGATCAGATTTTTCCGAGAATCGCCATCCAAGAGACTGCAAATGCTTCTTGGAATGTGTTGAAACAAGAATTTGTGGGAGATAAAACAGGTACGAGCTGTGAAACTCCAAGGCTTACGCCGTGATTTTGAATATACTCAAATGGGTGAAAATGAAAGTTTCTCTGCATATCTAGTTAGACTATTTGATATGATTAGTCAAATGAGGGGTTATGGTGAGAATATTAGTAATCAGAGAATTGTCCAAAAATTGCTGATCAGTTTACCTAGATCGTATGATAGTATTGCTTCTGTTATCGAGAATACTAAGGATCTAGACATTGTTGATGTTCAAGATGTTGTAGCTATTCTAAAAGGGTATGAACAAAGAATTGATAGGCATGATGAGGCTCACATTGAGAAGGCTTTTGTTAGTCTCAATATTACTCCAAAGCAAAATAAGTACAATGGAAATCAGGGGTTCAAACCACAAAAGAATTGGAAGTCAAAGTGGAAGAAAGGAGATAACAAACCTATAAATCAAGCTGGAAAAGCTGCAGGTACCTCTGAAGGAGCTAAGAATCCTTGCATACATTGATAAAGTTGCATTTTGGAGAATGTTGCTTCAAAGACAAACCTAGGTGCCATAATTGTCATAAACTTGGGCATATTGCAAAGGACTGTCGTGGCAAGAAGGTAAATCAGCATGCAAACTTTGTGAATCAAGTCAATGACATTCCTACAATGTTCTATGTCTGCAATAATGCCACTATGAAGAAATGTGAAGACACATGGTATGTAGACAGTGGGTGTAGCAATCATATGACTGGAAGAGAAGAATTGCTGGTTGATATTGATAGAACTATGACTACTAAGGTTGAGATGGGCGCTGGTTAGCATATTGAGGTCATAGGGAAAGGCAATCTAGCAGTTGAAACCAAAATGGGGAAAAGATATATCAAGGAAGTGATGTTAGTTCCAGGTTTACAAGAAAATCTGCTTAGTGTGGGACATATGATGGAACACGGTTTCTTCCTGGTGTTTGGTGGTACTACTGCAACTATATATGATGATGAATCTATGTCAAACTTGATAGCCAAAGTACCAATGAAAGCAAACAGAAGTTTTCCCATGAGACTTCAATCTGGAATGCAGATGGCTCTAAAAGCTAATGTGTGTCAGTCTTCTACACTCTGGCATAGGAGGCTGAGACATTTGAACTTAAACAGTCTGAAGCAACTCAAAGAACATGATATGGTGTTGGGATTACCTGAACTCAAGATGACAGATGAGATATGTAAAGGATGTGTTTTTGGGAAGCATTGCAGATATGCATTTCTAAAGGAAGCATTATGGAGGGCTACTTTTCCTTTAGAACTTATTCACTCAGATATCTGTGGACCTATGCAAACCACAACTAAAGCAGGAAATAAGTATTTTCTTAACTTTATAGATGATTGCACTCGAATGTGTTGGATCTATTTCTTGAGAAACAAGTCTGAGGTATTTGATATCTTTAAGAAATTTAAGGCCACAATTGAATTGCAAAGTGGTTTTCAATTGAAAAAGTTGAGAAGTGATAAAGGAGGGGAGTATACATCTACTGAATTCAGGAAATTTTGTGAAGAAATGGGCATGGAAAGACAATTAACAGTAGCCTATACACCACAGCAAAATGATGTGGCTGAGAGAAAGAATAGAACCATAGTGGAAATGGCAAAATGTATGATGGTTGAGAAAGGAGTTCCACTTGATTTCTGGGCAGAAGCTGTCAACACAGCAGTGTACACTCTGAATAGATGTCCCACTAAGGCTCTTGATAAGAAGACTCCTTATGCTCACATTCCAACTCAACTAAGGCAGAAGCTAGATGAGACCAGCACTAAATGTATTTTTTTGGGATATGGCACATGTGAGAAAGGTTATAGACTTTATGATCTTGTCTCAAAGAAGATAATTGTGTCAAAAGATGTGATAGTTGATGAAAATACTTGATGGGATTGGAATTCTCAATCTGAGAAGACTATCAGTGTGCCACTACCTGAGGTGGAAATGAGAGAACAAAGAGAAGAAAGAAGTTCAAGTGACAGATGCAATGTAAATGATGAGTTTGCATATGAAGTCTATGAATCAATTGAAAACGGTTCAAGGTTAATTCCAATGCAGAATATCACAGGTCCACAAGACTATGTTCACACACCTTTGAAGTTCAAGAGTTTGACAAAGTGTATGCAAAATGCAATCTGTGCATAGTTGAGCCTGAGAACTTTGAGGAAGCATCACAAGATGAGTCATGGCAGAAGGCAATGCAGGCAGAAATTGGTATGATAGAGAAAAACTGCACTTGGGAACTTGTTGATAGACCACTTGATAAGCCAATTATTGGTGTCAAGTGGATCTACAAAACAAAATTAAACCTAGATGGGTCTATACAGAAGAATAAGGCAAGGTTAGTGGCTAAGGGATACTCTCAAAAGCCTGGGGTCGATTTCAATGAGACATTTGCTCCTGTGGCAAGGCTTGATACTATTAGGACTCTAATTGGACTTGTTGCACAGAACGGATGGAAGCTATTCCAACTTGATGTAAAGTCACAATTTCTGAATTGAGTTCTAAATGAGGAAGTATATGTAGATCAACCACTTGGTTTTGTGATTGAAGGCAAGGAGGACAAGGTTTACAAGCTTAAGAAAGCCTTGTATGGGTTGAAACAGGCACACATGCCTGGTACAAGGAAATTGACTCTCACTTCTGCAGTACTGGTTTTCACAGAAGTCCAAGTGAGGCAACTCTCTACATCAAAGTCACTGAGGCAAGAATTCTCATTGTTTCTTTGTATGTTGATGACATTATATACATAGGGAGTTCCAGTGCATTAATGAATGAGTTTAAAGCATAAATGATGGGAAAGTATGAAATGTCTAATTTGGGACTATTGCATTATTTCTTGGGACTTGGTGTCATTCAAACAGAAGGTAGTATCTTTCTGCATCAAAAGAAATATGCAAGAACCTTGTTGAAGAAATTTGGATTGAAGGAGTGCAAACCTGTTGCAACTCCACTTGCAACAAATGAAAAATTAATCAAAGAAGATGGAAGTGAATCAGCTGATGAGAGTCTCTATAGGCAGATTGTAGGTAGCTTGTTATACTTAACAGCTACAAGACCTGATATCATGTTTGCTGCAAATCTACTTGCTTGATTCATGCATAATCCAACCAGGAAAAAATATAGGAACTGCAAAGAGAGTGCTAAGGTATATTTAAGGCACACTGGACTATGGAATTGCATATGAGAAGGGTAAAGATGTTGTGCTTATTGGATACTGTGATAGTGACTGGGCAGGAAGTGAAGATGATATGAAAAGCACATCTGGATATGCATTTAGCTTTGGTTCTGGAGCATTCTCTTGGACTTCAATCAAACAAAGCAGTGTAGCCTTGTCCACTGCAGAGGCTGAGTATGTTAGTGCTGCAGAGGCAGCTGCTCAAGCCATCTGGCTAAGATTTGTTTTATCAGATTTTGGAGAGGAACAAATGGAACCTACTCAGATTCTCTGTGATAATACCTCAGCTATTGCAATATCTAAGAATCCAGTGGCACATCATAAGACAAGACACATAAACAGAAGGTTTCATTTTATCAGAGATGCACTGCAGAATGGTGAAGTTGATCTGATTTATTGCAAAACTAAAGAAGAAGTTGTTGATATTTTTACAAAAGCATTGGCAAGGGATAGATTCGAGTATTTGAGGAAGGCTTTGGGAGTGATTTCAGCTAAAAACTTAGAAGGGAGTGTTAGTGTTTAAGTGTTTTAGCTGAAATAAACCAATTCATTTTTTTTACTTGTTTTAATTAGAACCATTGGATTACATTCCAAAATGAATGCTCTAGATTGAATGAGAGTTCGCAATGTAGAGTGACAATTGTAGCTATCTCATAAGATAGATGAAATGAATGGCTGTGATGTATTCTTTCTTGTGTGAGAAAGAAAAGGTGTAACAGTGCCCTACATTGTTTTTTTTGTACTCGATCACATTCCAATAAGAAATGATGATGAAATGAAATTGGTTCATATTTCTTTGTAAATCCTCTCTCTGAAATATACATTTTCCTCCTAAATTCCATAACAATCACTCTCCTCTGTAATCTAACACCATTTGCTAAGGGAGACTTTTACCAGGGTTCGATGATTTTACATGCCTTGGAGGAAGCCCACCACCCATACGTTCCATTTCTATCATTGCTTTTGCTATATATATATATATATATATATATCTCTCTCTCTCTCTCTCTCTCTCTCTCTCTCTCTCTCTCTTTTTATCTCTCTCTCTCTACCTCACTACCTCACTACCTCACTACCTCTATCTTTCTCTCTCTAGTTCTCTTTGAAACATGTTTTATATTCCGTTGAAAAGGCAGGAATCTAGTCAAGTGAATTTATAGCTAAACCAGCAGGGGTGGAGTCTAAGTGGCAAACCGGCATTGTAAACGAGAAACCTAGAAATGCCAGTCATAACACATGTCTGTGAATTGTGATTGTACAAGGGGGATGATTTACCGAGAGTAATAGGTTGTCCGATCAATTGCCCTTGAAAAAATTTTGATTTTATTACCTAGGGAGCAATGTAATGAGTTTTCTCCAAAGGAGATGTCAAATTTTGAACTTAAAATTTAAATTTGACAGCTTATGTGGCATTTTGGCATATTTTCATATTTTGCTCTCCACCTGATATGTCAAATTAAACCATTATTTTATTACAGTATTTTTTTTTTCTTAATTTCTATCTTATACTTTAAATTTTACATATAAATAATTCAAAATAAAAGTTATATTAATTAATACTAAAACAAATACAAATAATCCAACAAAATACAACCCCTTAATTGAAAATAGAAGAAATAAAAATCCAACTCAATAATCATCACCTTTGCAACAACTCCATAAGCAAGCATCCTCATAGCAGCATTGACCTTTTGTAGAGGTGATAATGCAAGACGACCCGATTGATCCCTTTTTTGAGCAAAGTTTGAGTCATAGGCTTCTACCACACTTACAATTCGAAGGAAAAAAGGTTGACGCATCCGAAATCTCCTTCGAAATTATTAAAAAAAACTTGAAGCTGCTGTCAAATTTGACAGCAAGCCCCTTTTTTGCCATTCCATGTCATGCCACATGATATTTGGCATTTCAGTTGGAAACAATTAGTGGCTGTCTTTTTTTACTATTATTGCTTATGTGGACAATTTGGCATCTCCTTTGGAGATGCTTTAAGGTTTATTTCAACGACACTTGAAAGTTTGAGTAATGTTTGGAAGACTAAATTTATGAACAAAATTTTATAAATTAAATGATATGATATGATATGAAAGTTGATAAATATGTTCAGTTTTAATTGATGACACATCATTTAGTTTGCAAATTGTGTCTACATATTTAGCCTCTATTACTCTGAAAGTTTAGGATAAAAGAGTTTGGCCTTTTTTTTTTGGGGATGTAAGGATCCTGGGGATCCACCAATCATGTTCGTTCATCGTACATCGTGCGGTCAGAAATCATTATAAAAAAATTTATTTAAAATTAAATATAAACCATAC